TGGTCTGATTTTCCACATATTAGTCAATATCATTTGGGCTACATCTACACTGGCAGCTGCTTGCGAAAGAGTTCTTGTGAAAAAACTCTTCCAGAAGAGAGCGTCTACACTGGCATGTGCTTTTGCGCAAGAGCATCCATGCCAGTGTAGACACTCTCTTGCGCAAGAAAGCTCTGATGGCCATTTTAACCATAGGGTTTTCTTGCGCAAGAAATTCATGTTGCCTGTCTACACTGGCCTCTTGTGCAAGAGGACTTATTCCTGAGTGGGAGCATCATAGTTCTTGCGCAAGCAGCCCTGATTTTATACAGTAGAACGTCAGTTTACTTGCGCAAGAATACGCAGCCAGTGTAGACAGGCAGCAAGTTTTTGCGCAAGCGCGGCCACTTTGGCGCAAGATTGTGCCGGTGTAGACACAGCCTTGGAGTAAAGGAAAACTCAGTGATGTGGGGCAAGTACAAGGGATCATTCTGGGCAGTATCAGTGCTCTCTCCTCCTCCTCCTCCAGTTTAGTAAGCTTTAATTTAAGGCAAGTGTTCTTTGCAGAAATGGCATGCACAAGTTTGCAGATGCTGGTTTTTGTTGCTGCTGCAAACATTGTTTAAGTCACCGAAACTATACACATTTGTATTTGCAAATGCAAATCAGGAAATTATCACCAAACCCTGCCATGGCACAATCACAGTTCCTGATTTGGAGTTATGAGGACTGTTCCCTTTAGTAGCCTATGGAAGGCATAAAATACTTCAAAAGGAAGCAGCGAGGAAGCAATACTGAGTTGTCCATTACCCCTTCTCTGCCAACATGTGGAGCTGGCTGGACACAGGGGCTCATGCTGTACCTTTAAAGAAAGGTGTCATGCAGGGCTCAGAAGCTCGAAGGGTTATGCCTCTTTGGGAGTTTTGCAGCTCTACAGTACTTATCAGGGCTGTGACTGAAAACCAAAACTGAGCCATGAGTGTTGTAATAATCAGGAGTGCTGACCAGTACCTGGTGAAACTAAGGGGTGAACTCTATACCTAGCTAGGTATCAGGTGGTCAGCCAATAACAATGCAGGTAGGAATTTCAAACTGGAAGAGAGGGGTTTATCTTCCTGTTCTTTGTTTGAGAGTGAGAACAGTTTCTTCCAAGACTGAGGGAGTTAGGAGACACTTCTCTCTCCAAGAACAGACTTCTTAAAATGTGTAAGTAGGGAAAAGTTTAGAAAGTCCGTCAGGGTTTGTTGTTTTCCTTGTTTGGGAAATTGGAAATAATGTTTGAGCTGTTAGTTACAAAGAAAAACACAATTAAGTTTTAGCCCAGGGAGTTTCCCTGAGTATCTGTATCAATTTGTAGCTCTTTCTATTTAGCCACTTTACTATGCTTGCAACTGTAGTTTTGTTCTGATTAACTGGGATTGTTTGATTGTTGTATCCACTCAGTGGCTAGTTACAAGGGCAGAATCTCCTGTTGCCTGTGAATTCCCTCTGTGTTTCCCACATCCAAGCAAAATGGAGGTTGAGGCAAGGGGAGAGTTTTACTGTAGGGGGGAGATTTCCCAAGTGATCTCTTCCCTGGGCTTTCTTGGAATTACTTGGGTGGTGGCAGCGAATCCCCAAAATCTGGGTATTAGGATTTTACGGGGAAATTTTTGTAACAGCATGTTACGGCAAGGTTTTGGAGTGCTCTTGCGGGCCCCCATTTCTGTATTTGTCATGCCACAGTGGGGAACAGCCTTGACAAGTGTAATTACCTGGATGCAGAAATCCTGGTTCCCATTTTAGCCCATCAGACAGTAACTTGTATTGAAGGCTTGAGAATCTGACAGTGATTCCAGCATTGGGAGGGTTACAGGAAGGCAAGAAGATGAGCATAGTGGCACATGCTGAAATGCTTAGTGTGTTGGAAGACTGGTATCTGTATCCTTATTCTTTGCCTCTATGTACAACTGTGAAAATACTTCCTCTCCCCCCCCCCCCCCCCCCCCCCATCTGCCAGCTCCTGCCTATCGGACAGATATCAGGCAACATCAAACACCTGTGTGCCAGATCTGCACAGTTTGTAAGAATGTCACTGCTGATTTGTCTCAAGAACGCACTGCATGCCAAGTGCTTTACTTGCCTGTTTCAAAGAGAACAGAACACAGTCAGGAAGCTTTCTTTTTCTTCACACCATACTCAGCTCTCTACTCTTCTCCATTTGGAGAAGGAAGGAGAACTGACATGAGTTCTCATGCTGTTGTACTGTGTGGTGAATACGAATGCACCAAGACTTAATCCAACCATAGAAAAAGATTTAGCTAAACTTTGTTCCTGTAGCAAATCCTTTAACTCCCCTTGAAGACATCAGCTTGTTGGTTTACTTGGTCAGCATGGATATTTGGAATCAGATAGTTATGCACAAGCTCACTGAAGTCCACTTGCTCTATTATCCTACTGAAGGGGAGAGAGAGACATTCTCTAATCAACTTTTCATCTTTGTTTAAACTATTGCAAGAGACACCTAGAAACTTGAAGATGGAAAGTGAACAAAATCAGCAGTATGGAAAGAAGGAATTTCTAGTGGGTTGCCTAATCCACTCAATTGCTGGGCAAAAGCCTGATATCCCTTAGGGATGTGATGAATACACAGCATATTCAAAAGATTAAGAATGGGTTCATCTTTTGAAACTTAAAATCAGATTACAGAACTGGTGTCCTCCACTCCTGTCTTCAAAATTCCTCCATGCAACAACAAGGATAGAAGCAAGAAATCCTGCAATGTTCAGACTGCACTAAATGCAGAAGCAGGTAAAGGAAAGAGTTATATGTTATTCAGCAGGTCAAAATAAACCTCCCCCACACTTTCTATGACTTGCCATTAATGCTGTTGATTCATAGAAACGTTTTATTAAGGTAAAGTTACAACAAAGCATTATAACACACTGCATCGTTTATGGCTCATTCAGGATCACGGTAACGGTCAAAGAGCCTGGCTAAGGATTCTGACTTGCTGGTTGTGAAGCCCTGCTCCTTTGAGTATACTAGAACGGGTGACCAAATTTCTAAATACTTGCTCTCATTTTGGCACTTTTCTTGTGTAAGTAGTTGATGAGAGAGTTTTTCAATTACAAGAAAAATCCATATTTTACTACAGTACAAATCCATAAGAGTAAAGATCAATTTTTTCCAATAATGTACTGTAGCTGCTAACAAAAAAATGAAACTATGTGTACGCTGATTCAGATTTGTGCATGTCAGGATGTTTGATGGTAGAGTCCCTATGAATTTAAGATCTGATTTGATCATGCAAGTCAAAACCCCTAGTTGATAAATTCACCTGTACATAAAATTTTACACAGAGAAACTGGTCATTTGGGTACCATTGGGTGGAGATTTGTAATGTTAAGATGAAAAAATAAGACTGGGGAGAAAAATAAAAACAAAACAAGGCAATCACAGAATTACATATTGCAAAAAATGTTTTTGAATTACCCAGGAAGTGCTTAAACTTTCTGCTTTGTAGCTGACACAGTAAAAGTTACCTAAGAGGAAAAGTATGAATTTACTATTCACTTAAGAAAAGGCAATATTGATAATAGACTTGTGATAGGGTCAATGTGACCATCAGGGAACTAGCTTGAATGATTAGCATTGGCTTGTCCTTGTCTTGGGTGTTTTTTCTTGGGCTTCCCACTTCTAGAGTGAGTGGGAATGTATTGTACATAATTAAACAGCTGCTTGTGCCTGTTAAAGCAAGCCACCTGCCCACAGAAAGGAATACAAGGAGTCTGGTGGCACTTTAAAGACTAACACATTTATTAGAGTATTAGAGCATAAACATTCCTGAGCTACAATTCACTTCTGCAGTTGCTGAAGAGAAAAAGAAAGAAACAAAAGGAGTAACGGTAGTTCGAATTAGAAAGCCTAATTCGAACTACCTACTCCATGCCGCGTGTAGCCGCGGGCACGGAGTCCAAACTACCGGGGATTTAAAAGTGGCGGCGCCCGGCAAGATGCAAATGAAGCCCAGGATATTTAAATCCCGGGCTTCATTTGCAACTTCGATTGACTACATTAACCACCCTAGTTCGAACTAGGGTGGTAGTGTAGACATACCCAGAGAGAGGAAAAAATAGAGATAGGAGTGGGACAACAGTGCTAATTAAATCGGAATGGCTGTGGCTAATCTCCAACAGAGCTGAGAAGATGAGAGTATCCATATGGAAAAATATTTACTGTAATGTGAGGACCTCCGTGTTTGTAATGTGTTTGTTAGACCTTTGTTCAGGGTGTCAAATTTGCATATGAATTCCAGGTCAGCACTTCCTCCCTGCAATCTGTTTTTAAAGTGAACAAACATACCACAATCCATATACTGAATTCAAAGAGTGGTTCAGACATAACAGCTACATCAAAAGAGTGATCTGAGTATTGCTGTTATTGGATTTTAAGGGTGTGTCTACACTGCACCTGTAGCTCGACATAAGGTACGCAATTTGAAATATGCAAATTGCATAGCTTATTTCGAGTAAATTTTGAAATAGTGCAAATTACAAAATAATCTGTCTACACAGCACCAAATTTTGAAATAACCTGCTATTCCAAAACGACCTTCACTCCTCATGGAATGAGGTTTACAGGAACGTCAGAATAGCAAGCCCATTATATTGTGAAATAACGGGCTTACTGTTAAGACGCACAATAGCAATTTCAGGATATCTCCAGCATCCTGAAATAGCGCTGCAGTGTAGACATAGCCTAACTTACTAGTGCAGAGAAATAAGAGTAAAGCTAAATACTGCTTGCAGTCTTAGGACAGGTCTATGTTAGACCTGGAAGGTTGGTTAAGTACGTACCTCCAGCTACATAAGTAACATAGCTGAAGTCAACATACCCTTTAGCTGAGCTTGGTGCCGTTCCTACTGAGGGAGGTTTATGGAAGCTCCCATCGACTTCTTTTACTTCGAGTACCGGTGCCAACCAGGGGCACCCTTAGCATTCGATTTAGTGAGTCCTCACTGGATCAGCTAAATTGAACTCCAGAAGATCAATCTCCGGCAAATAGAGACATGATCTTACACAGCCTTGTTCAGGATCCAATCACAAAACATTTAAGCTAAAACCATGGTACTATTTGTAAAGCATTAGGTACCTACCTGCACATTTTGTTCTTGTTGTCAGTGGAGGCCCAGGGGGCCCTGTGCCCCCTTCACCAGGGCGCGTGAGGAGCACTCTGATCTCATACTCCACATCAGGATCCAGATGCCACAGTTTGTAATTTGGGGAGTCTACGATGTGTGTTTCTGCCCAGTTCCCAGTGGTTGTACGGTATTCCACCTCCTTCAGTATTATAGGCCCATCTCCGATGATAGAATTGGCATTGGGTTTGATCCATAGATAGGTGGCACCGACAGCCAGCAGCTCAGGGGGCGCAATGGGCGTTGGAGGCTCTGCAAGCAACAAAAAATTATACAATGTCCATGAAACTTGTTAATAGTGCTTGGCTTGATTGGACTGTAACAATACACCATGTTCAGCAGAACAGCTGATCCAAACTTGGGTCAGTTACACGGGAACACTTCCCATGAATATGAACCTTACAATATCTTACTTGAGACTGAATTCCTTGGAATTGACCATCATTTATTTGTTTCTATTTATTTATTTCTAACAGGGTGCCATAACTGACTTCAGAAGACAGGATATCCTGCCCTTAATGGAAAACAAGGAGCTATATAATGTGAAAAAAATGAAGCTTTATCTATTTAGAAATACCCCTTACATAATACAGCTCCTGACCTTATCCCATTCCACGTACTCATAACAAAATAGAAAACTTTATCGTTACCCATCTCCAAAGTAATTTACCATAGCGTGATTATGAAAATAAAATACAGTGATTTGAAAAGGTCAGCATTGTTCCCATAGATATTTCCTACTCTAAGAACAGGAGAAAACGGTAGTATATCAAATTGCACTGTATAGCCGTGGGCAAAGACCATGTTTTTATTGGTGACCACTGTATTCAGGGAATTCAAAATGCCATTCTAGTAAGAGGCTGTCGTTTTAAAATAGGATACATTTTTATACCAAATTAGTTGACAGTGTCTTTAAAATATAATAAAAAATGCATCTATATGCCTGAAGGGTCTTTGCTTATCTAATAGGAACACAAACAGAATGTTGCTGAAGTGTAACTGAATTCTACCTACGACAGGGCTAAAAGTGAAACTAGGACAGAGAATTAACAGACTTCATAGTATTTAAGAGCAAAATACGTTTAACTTCATGAGTGACGGCACTAACGACAAGTCTGCATGAGACTTGAAGACTGCCTGGTAGAAGTTTGAGAAGCATCATCTGAGAAGGCAGGAACCAGATGAGTGCAGATTTCCTCTGTGATAAAAAGATCAAGCCAGCAAGACATCTCTCCAGCACCCTTTGATGAAATCCTCGAAAAATCTACAGGGGCCTGGCAGTCTGCCTGAGTATTTTGCTACTATCCCTGTATACATAAGACTGGCATATTGCAAGGTACATTAATATCATATGCCTCGTGGTTTTGAAAACCTGAAATTAACTGCACAAGATTATGAGCAATTTCTATAATCACATATGTTCCTTTTTCTATTTTTCAAATTTTATTTGCCCTCGGCCCAGAGGACACAGAAATTCTCTTTGCTTGTGAAATTAAGGAGATGGACAAAGGAGACACCTTTTTTTTTTCTTAAAGAAAGAAGTCCTATAAAAATCAGTGACAGGGACCCTTAAGTTTTAGAAATAGAGTAATTCTAAACATCCTTTTGAATTGAATGGAACTATAGCCTTTCCTCCTGTGATAGTCAAAGGAATGAGTGCCTGGGCTGCAAACCATAGAGGAGCCCAATCAATATGCAGTGATGGGGATTGAGAGAAAACCCTGGGTGGGCAGAACACTCCTGCCAGTAAGGATATGCCTCAGTGATCTTCAGGAAGCTCCTTAGTCCCCCTGTTCCATAACTTATTCAAGTTTATTGTGGGGACATGGAGGTTATCCCATAACACAGTCAACTAGATTTTAAAACCAAGATATGGTTGGTTGTAACTGATCTATTGATAAAATCCCAGCACAATCCTAAATGCCTCTAACTGCTGACTATCATCTCCAGCTCCTAATATTCATCTCTGCATCATCAGAGATACAGCTCCAAATGCTATACTGCTAGGCTACGTCTACACTGGCGCATTCTCATGCAAAAACTCTTCCAGAAGAGAGCATCTACTCTGGCATGTGCTTTTGCGCAAGAGCATCCATGCCAGTGTAGACGCATGAAAGCTCTGATGGCCATTTTAACCCTAGGGCTTTCTTGCACAAGAAATTCATGTTGCCTGTCTACACTGGCCTCTTGCGCAAGAACGGTTGCGCAAAAGGGCTTATTCCTGAGCGGAAGCATCAGAGTTCTGGTGCAAGAAGCCCTGATTTCATACATCAGAACGTCAGTTTACTTGTGCAAGAACACGCAGCCAGTGTAGGTAGGCAGCAAGTTTTTGCACAAGATCGCGCCAGTGTAGACAAAGCCCTAGCCTGCAAACTATGGCCCATTTTGTAATTAGAAGCTGAATATTCCTTGCTCCCATGGTATGGGCAAGAATGATAGAGACTACAACATCTTACCTGTTAGTCTTGTCATGTTTTTCAAATATGACTTTGCCTCTTCCACCACCCTACTATGGGACTAATAGCCAGGGCTCGACAAATAATGCAATCTACTCGCCCGGGGCAAGTAGACTGCAACCCGAAAGAGCCGGGTTTGGGTGATCTGTGCGGCTGGCAAGTGGGGCTTGCCGCGGTTCGGCAAGCCCTGCTAATAGCGACCATTATCCCTCTGATTAGAAGAAACTCTAGGCAGAGACCATAGGGGTTTTTTTCATCACTGACTCTGACTATGTTTGCACCAGTCCCACGGTCCTGTATATGGACTTTACCATTAGCCTGCCCTAACTGGAAAAAACAACAAATGGTCTGAAAGCACTTTATAGATTAACAAAACATGTAGATGGTATCATGAGTTTTTGTGGGCACAGCCCACTTCTTCAGATGACCGGAGTTATGAGTTTGGGATGTGAACACTTGAAATAAATAGGAGGGTGGGGGGGGGGGTTTCTGTGATGCCAACAATGTCATAATTGAGTTATGAGTTTAGGATGTGCAGATTCAAAATAAATAGGAGAGAGGAAGGCGGGGGGAGAAGAATAAGGAAGGAGAGTGGGAGACAGAGCATCAGTAAGTTTGGAGAATGGGTACTTAAACCTAAGCAGTTGAAAAACAAAGTCAATAGATAGATTCCCATGTCAGGAAGGATATTACTCAGAGAGCTGTTAGCACCTTCAATGGTGGTTAAATTGGTAGTGTCCCAACAAACCTTCATCACGATTGAGCATGTGAATTGAATTTGTGGATGAACTGTAATTCCAAGGCTTCCCTGTGCATCTGACTTGTAGAGCTGGTTTGTGACAAGACAGATACTTGGAGATCTGTCATAGTATGATTTGGAAGGTTAAAATGTTCCCCAATAGGTTTCTGTATGTTTCCTTTATGTATATCTGATTTGTGTCCATTGATTCTATCTATCTACTTTGCTTTTTATCTGTTTAGGTTTAAGTACTCATTCTCCAGATACTTACTGATGGTCTGTCTCCCCCCCGCCCCCTTCCCCTCTCCTATTTATTTTGAGTGTTCACATCCCAAACTCATAACTCCGGTCATCTGAAGAAGTAGGCTGTGCCCACGAAAGCTCATGATACCATCTACATGTTTTGCTAGAGAAACTTTACTCTTCCTTATTGAGGATGTGAATTATGGCAGCATAGACTTTAATTATGATAACCTAGAAATTGCACCTATCTTTCCAGTTAGTTTCAGAGGAAAGCTGAGTTAGTCTAACTCAATAGTCTAACTCGGCTACTCTCTGAAGCTAACTGGAAAGGTAGGTTAAAGTTCTAGGTTATCATAATAAAAGTCTATGCTGCCATAATTCACATCCTCAACAAGGAAGAGTAAAGTTTCTTTCAAGTGGCATGTTGAAAATGTTGACTTAAAATTAACTTGTGTCTAAAGTGCTTCTGTTTGGAAATTTCTGCTAGTTAAAAATTTTAGACACCCTATTTCCCCATTGCTAGAGTAATAACCTGATTCAGAGCAATGATTGCTTATATTACAGTTTAAATTAAATCAGAGAAATGAAACTAGAGCATTAGACATCCTTGCCTTTTGTGACCAGGTTTGTTAGCTATTTAATGCACAAACAAAACCTTGTTTACATCTCACACAAATAAGTGCAGTAAATAGGGGGAGTGTTAGACATGACATGTTCTAATGGTGCCGAAGGCTATGGCTGCTTTAAATCCCTATAGTTTTTGTTGTTGTTGGAGTATCTCACATTGGCATAGTGATACATAAATAATTAACAAAAGAACTGAAAAAAAATTAATAAGTAATTCAATAAATTCCAGCCCTATTTGAGGTTTGTTAGTATGAGATAATTTTCTCTGATTAATTCATTATTCAAAGTTACTCAATAACATTTATGATGAATGTTATTTAATCTGCTCACTATTCAAATGTGGACTTGTGTTGCGTCACTGTGATTGACTGTAGAAATCACACAACATGTCCTCTAAATCAGTGTTTCTCAACCAGTGGCACGAGTACCCTTAGGGGTACTTGAGAGAAGTCTGGGAGGTACATCAACACAACTGAAATTTGGAGAAAACTGAATTTTGTTTTACATTTTATAGCATTTTACTATTTTTTTGTATTTTTTACACCCAAGAATTTAATCGCCTACCAAGATATGATTAAGTTGTTTAAACAAATGTGTGTCTGAAAACTGTAGGTACTGGGCCTACTTCTAATTTTTATTTTTTTGGAAAAAGAGGTACTTTATAAAAAAAGATTGAGAAACACTGCTCTAAAGAAACAAGCAGCTCTTATCACAATTCTGTTTGGAATAATAGACAGCCAGCAAAAGCAAACAAAACAGAGTCAGAAATACAATTCTTTTAAAAATCAAACAAATGTTTGCAAACTTCATTTTGCCCATTTCAAAATTCCATGCAGAAATATTTTAGTGTCATAAAGATAGTTATTTACATTAAGGATGTCTCCAACAAATCCATTTTCAAAACATTTAAACTTGAGCTGATAGCACTTAATTAAAAATAAGAGAATCACAAACAACTTAAAATTGATTTTTCCCCTTTGTAGCATAATTAAACGATTTTACAGGTTTTCAATGGAAAAAAAGGCACTTTACAAGTAAAATTTCCAGTGGGTCCATATGATGAAGATGAAAGAGACCCTTGCAGAATTTCACAAGGATTTCAACAACTTCTACCCCACCATCAACCTCATCCTGGATCAGATATTTGGCCTTTAGAAAAGGGTCAGAAAAGGTCAACTAAAATGAAC